GTCCAAGAATGTGAATTCTTACATAACTGGGTCAGAACGCCAGTGGACATAGCTACTGTGCCATCTGCTACCCTCATCCCGGTCACTGCTACTGGTATAACAGCCCCAAGCCAAGAACATGGACAAGCTGCTGCTTTGGGTCTCTGTCCTCATCACTCTCCCAGAAGCCTTTGCTCAAGCAAGTAAGGAGGTCAGGGGGTGGTCAATGAACATGGGGTAAGAAAAGAGAGTCAATCTGTGATTTTTCTTCTCTGCATTTATATTCCTTTCTCCCCCAACAGACCTCCATGGGAAGGTGTTTGTGTTTCCTAGAGAATCTTCTACTGACCACGTGAGCTTGATCACAAAGCTGGAGAAACCTCTACGGAACTTCACCTTGTGTCTTCGAGCCTATAGTGACCTCTCCCGATACTACAGCCTCTTCTCCTACAACGTCCAGGGCAAGGATAATGAGCTACTAGTTTTTAAAGACAAAATTGGAACGTACAGTCTGTTCATTGGGAACACCAGAGTTACCGCTAAAGTTCTTGAGCAGTTTCCTGCCCCAGCACACTTCTGTGTCAGCTGGGAATCCTCCTCAGGCATTGCTGAGTTCTGGGTCAATGGAAAGCCTTTGGTGAAGAAGGGTCTGAAGCAGGGATACTCTGTGGGGGCTCACCCCAAGATTATCCTGGGACAGGAGCAGGACACCTATGGAGGTGGGTTTGATAAACGTCAGTCTTTTGTGGGAGAGATTGGGGATTTGTACATGTGGGATTCTGTGCTGTCTGCGGAAGAGATCCTGTCTGCATATCAGGACTCTCCCATCAATCCTAATATACTGAACTGGCAGGATCTGGACTATGAGATTAAAGGATATGTCATCATCAAGCCCCTGGTGTGGCACTGAGGTCTTAAACCAACAAGAGCGCTTGAAAATGAAATGACCAACGTGTAAGAGATATGCTCAAGGTAACTAGATACCAGATCCGATGTCTGTATCTCTCTCTTCTTTGAATTCCCTGTCTACATGTCTGTGTAATAAATAAAATAGTGTATTATGCCATCTGCAATTGTTTAGTGCTCGTCATAGTCCCAAACACTTTCTCTTACATCTACTTATTTGGTAATTGGTGTTTTATTATCCAGAAAAATCAGATTTTAAAGTACGGGGCCACCACCTCTCTTTCAGTTTCTCATCCTGGTGTGGTTTGAGTGTTGCTATGGTGTTGGAAGTTATGCCACTGCTATTTCAAGTACCAGCAGTGTTACTCATTGTGGACAGGTTTCAGTGAAGCTTCCAGAACAAAACAGACTAGAAAGACAGGCCTGGTGATATACTTCCAAAAATTAGCCAATGAAAACTATGGATTACAATAGAATACTGTCTAATATGGTGCTAGAAGATGAGCCACCTAACTTGGAAGTCACTAAAAATACACAGTGGCCATAACAATGGACTTCAGCATACCAATGATTGTGAAGATGACACAAGACCAGGCAATATTTTCTTCCGTTGTACATAGTCTTAGTTATCCAGAGCTGCTATAACAGAAATACCACAAATGAATGGCTTTAAGGAATAGAAATTTATTTTCTCACAGTTCTGGAGGCGCAAAGTTCAAATCAGGGTTTTGGCTATAATTCCTTCCTTGTCGGTAACCCCAGGCATTCCTTGGTTCCTTGGCAATTCTCGTATGGCATATGGCATCTGTCTTCCCCAGTTTGTGCATGTCTGCGTCCATACTGCTCTTTTTATAACTCAGAAGTGATTAGGTTTAAGACACACCCTACACTGATATGACCTTGACTGATTGATTTACTGATTGCATCGCACTAGCTTGCACTATGGAAGGTAATCTGCTCTACCTAAGGACAACTAATTTAATCT